CTCGCCTTATCGCATACTGGAACGCCGCTGGACAACGATGGATCGATGCCGTAGGACAAGGTAAGTCGCAGGTAAGTAATTCAAATTAACTTGACACTGCGTATATTAACAAATGATTTATTTCAGATCGTCGTAGTTGATTACAAAATTGTTGCGCCGTATGCGCTTCACGCTGACACATTTTGTCGAACGTTGTTATAAATGGTAATTAATTACCGCTCGCAATAGTTATACGAGTTATGTTTAACGCGCAAGTACGCGGGAGTGCTTGGTTGTATTATATCGCTGCGCTAAACTACGCGCTAAGTCCGTGTTGTGTGCGAATCTTATATACGTGTTACCGCGAGAAGCCTTCACTGGCGCACAGTACAATTGCGCACGTTGCAATTGCACACAGTACTATTGGACACATAAAGTCACGCACCGTACAATCGCGCACAGTTTGTTTGGACACATTTCATTGGCGCACAGTACAATTGGACACCGTTGCTTTTGGACACAACACATATTATTAACTTATTTAAATAAATAAACGTATGTTGCATTAAACACGGTTTTTGCGCACCGTACAATCGCGCACCGTACAATCGCGCACCGTATGTACAATTGCGCACCGTACAATCGCGCACCGTACAATCGCGCATTGTACAATCGCGCACCGTACAATTGCGCACCGTACAATCGCGCACTTTATGTTGTAAAGCGAGTTCCACGCTTTCAACCACGGGAGGTGCGAGGGGGAGAAGCCGAAGTCCCCCCCTCGCACCGCCTCGTCTGTGTGTGTGTGTGTGTGAAAAGCGCGTCATAAACCCATGTGGCACCTTTCGCGTGGCACACACACACACACACACACACACACACACACACACACACACACACAGACGAGGCGGTGCGAGGAAGGGGCCTTCGGCCCCCCTCGCACCCCCCCGTGGTTGAAAACGTGGAACTCGCTTTATAACATAAAGTGCGCGATTGTACGGTGCGCGATTGTACATACGGTGCACGATTGAACGGTGCGCGATTGCACATACGGTGCACGATTGAACGGTGCGCGATTGTACGGTGCGCAATTGTACGGTGCGCGATTGTACGGTGCGCGATTGTACGGTGCGCAAAAACCGTGTCCAATGCAACATACGTTTATTTATTTAAATAAGTTAATAATATGTGTTGTGTCCAAAAGCAACGGTGTCCAATTGTACTGTGCGCCAATGAAATGTGTCCAAACGAACTGTGCGCGATTGTACGGTGCGCGACTTTATGTGTCCAATAGTACTGTGTGCAATTGCAACGTGCGCAATTGTACTGTGCGCCAGTGAACCTTTCCTGTTATCGATCGGCGAGTAAGTTTAGATCTCCTCACATTTCTTTTTTTTTATGCAACTACTATCAGCCCCGGCAAACTTCGTACCGCCTAACAGTCAATGAATGTAGTGATAAGACACGCAAATGGTCCCCCTCTCTCTCCCTCTCTTTCTCTCTCCCTCTCTCTCCCCCCCTCTCTGTCCCCGCGTGAGTATGCATAGACGTGTTGATTTGTGCTCCCTGTTTAGAACGATTTTTCTGCCGCTTTTTTGCCCTTCGGGGCCTTAATTTTTTGCAGAAGCGTGTTGAGTAAGGCTATTTTACTTACTATTTGCATATTATCTGTGGTTTCTGTCTTGGATGCTGAGATTGGAGTATCTTGGATTCTTTTTGATATTGGTCAACTGGCAAGGTTCCATTGCTTGGATACTTGAGCGCATGCGTGGCGATGTTGAGAAGGGGCAATACCCTGGTTGCGGCTCGTTCGGAGGACGACGGCAGCAACAAAACAAACAAGCGATCGGCGAATAAACAGCAGAGTCTGTCAGGTGCGTCCGATGAGAACACTGTGAGCGGTCATGTGGATTTAAATAAAATAAATTTTTTGAAGGCATTGGTTGATGAACATGATGTTTTTATCTCTAAATTTTTATTAAGTAGCAAGGAAACAGCCGAAAAAAGGTCCCAGCTAGGGACAGCTTTTCGATTCTGTAAGGAGGCGTTTCTAGAAATGGCGACGACTCTTGCTCATTTATTAGATGCTAGATCTGCGGAGCGCGTGGTCGATGAAGTTAAATCTGCTGTACGTGAGGTCATGAAGGATTTTAAAGCTCCTGATATGATTAACACAGACAAGTCTGATGCGGCTCGTTCGGAAAGGAAGGGAACATACGCATCTGTTGCAGCGGCGGGTATACCTGAAGTACGAGTTTCGCGTGGCCCTACCCTTAAAGTTCCTATATCTACGGCATTTATGCTAGTGCCTGATGACAAGAATGCAGATAGATATGGCTCTTCGCAAGCCACTAGAGAGGCGATGTGCAAAGTGCTAAGGCCTTCTGACTGCGCTCTCAAAGTCAAAAAAGTGACGAATGTAGGTAGGAATGGAGTAAAAATTGAGGCGATCTCTCCAAACATGGAGAAGATAAAGACACATCCAGATCTGGCAAGGATAGGACTCAAGATCGTGGAAAATGTTAAGCTTAATCCGCGATTAATTGTGTATGGAGTTCCGGCTGAATTGTCACATAAAGAAATAAGAGAAGAGCTTATTGCACAGAATCTCGATGGGGATGTAAATGCGGACCTCAAGGTCGTATATATGTACCAACCAAAAGCAGATAAGCGATATACGAATTGCGTGTTAGAGGTGGCACCGGATGTGCGTAGACGACTGCTTAGCAGTGGACGCATCTACCTGCGGTACTCTGCCTGTAATTTTACGGATCATATCAGAGTATTGCAATGTTATAGATGTCTGATGTTTGGACATATTGCTAAGGATTGCAAATCTGTGCCTGCCTGTGGGCACTGCTCTGAAGCGCATGAGATGAAAGACTGAGAGCATAGAGACAAGCCTCCTACGTGTGGAAATTGTTCGCGTAACATGAAGACCTCTTCCAATAATGCTACTCACTCGGCTATGGATGCAAGGAAGTGTCCTATTTTAGGTGGTAAAATTAAGGACAGACTTATGAGTATCAATTATGCTTAACCTTGATCCAGAGTATGAAGATTTGCGTGTCTGTCATGTGAACTGTCAGTCCATAATGGCGCATCTCGATGAATTTCGTAACTTTTTTGTGGACAAGGGATATCACATTATATGTATGTCTGAAACCTGGCTCAAACCTGAAATTCCTGACAACATGATTGCTCTTCCGGGCTATTCGCTCTATAGATGTGACAGAATTGGGCGGCAAGGAGGAGGTGTGGCTTTTTTCCTGCTAAATTCACTCAGTGCAGTAATCATCGAACAGTCATCGACGGATGAGCAGTATTGTAAACCAGAATTCCTAATAGCGGAAATTAAATTTGATCGCAATTCCAAGCTCCTACTTGCAATTGTATATAGACCACCAAACTGTGGTTATTTACAAGAATTTGAATATCTTTTCCTAGATTTACAGACGAAATATCGGCACTCGATAATATTCGGAGATTTTAATGCTGATATGATGGTTGACACATATGACAGTGCACAACTTAGAAGTTTCATTGCATCCTCGAACATGTATTTGGTGCCGTACGGAACTACACACCACTTGAAGAATTCCAGCACTTTCTTGGATCTATGCATCATGGATGATGAATGCAAACTTATAAGGTTTGGCAAATCTGCAGTTTCTTTTCTATCGGCGCATGATCTGATATATATCATCTACCGAATTAACATCAAACGTCGCTCACCTAGATTAGTATTATGTAGGAACTTTAAAAACTTTGATGAGCATAGCTTTCTAATAGAAATAGGTGAATGTAACTGGCAAGATCTCATAAATTCTAACTGTATTGAAGAAAAGGTCGATATTTTCAATAATAAAATCTTAGACCACTATAACAAGCATGCTCCTTTACAGAGGATACTCTTTAGAAATCTGCCAGCACCCTGGCTGACCAATGAAATAAAAAACTATATGCGTGAGAAAGACAGACTTAGAAGAGTATGGCGTAAAAATAGGAATAGTGCAAGTTATGAGATTTTCAAGGCAATGAGGAACCATGTGCAGAGTTTGGTACGGGAGGCAAAGAAGACATATTATATATCCATTTTTAGTCAAGAGGATAATGCAGCTGTCATATGGAGCAAATTAAGACATCTTGGTTTGATTCGGGCAAGGGAGGCCGAGAGATGTCTTGCTTGCTCTGTAAATGAGCTAAATAAATGGTTTGTAAATGATGCAGTTCAGGTGGCACAGGATGGGGACAGCGAGACCAGTCAACCGGATAGGATCTTTGATGATGGTAAACTGTATTTCACGTACGCAACGCCGAAAATTATAGCTAAAGCTTTGGCTAGGATCAAGTCAAATGCAGTCGGTTCTGATGGTATATCACTGAAATTAATAAAAATGGTTTTACCTAGCTTGATGCCTGTAGTTGAGCATATTTTCAACTTCTCTCTTATGCATGGAGTTGTACCGAGGATTTGGAAGACCGCACAATAACACCGATACCTAAGGTAAGGCATCCGACGTTGGCACAGCACTACAGGCCTATATCTATCTTGCTAACAATTTCAAAGGCTCTTGAAAGGATTGTATCGGAGCAGATAATACAATATTTAGAAGACAACGACCTGCTAGATCCATGTCAATTTGCATATCGAAAAAACTCGTCAACGCAGACATGCATTATAAGGATGTTGGATGAAGTGAGGCAGGCGGCGGATTCTAGGAAGGTCACTGTCTCTATTTTCTTTGACTTTTCTAAAGCATTCGACAGGGTTCAGCGTCACATCCTTATTAATAAACTCAGAAGCATGGGTTTCTCCGAATCTGTACTCTGTTGGATTAATTCTTATTTGACTGATAGATCCCAAGCTGTCTGTGATAGGTTCGAGGATGTTACCTCTCCCTTGGCGCATGTTGGAGTTGGAGTGCCTCAGGGTTCTGTTCTGGGACCGCTTTTGTTTGTCCTCTATATTTCGGATCTGAAAAACATCTTGCGGCATTGTAAATACAACTTTTATGCGGACGATCTTCAAATTTACATACATTGTGAGCCGCGATACTTGAGTAGTGGTGTCCTGAAGGTGAATGAAGACATTGAATCAATTGTACGGTGGGCAGAACGTAATGGGCTTCTGCTTAACTCGAGTAAGACACAGGCTATTATTTTTGGCACAGCTCAATACATTAATACCATTGAGCTTGACAGTTTACCGAATGTCATAGTTAATGAGGCGGTGGTTCAGTTCACAAGTGACGTGAAATATCTTGGAGTACGTGTTACCAATACTCTGGCCTGGGAAAAGCAGGTGACTGAAACTGTTGGAAAAATACATTCCAAGCTATACCAGCTGAAGATATCAAAACATTTGTTGCCTAATGCGTTAAAAATAAGATTGATTATCTCATTGATCTTCCCGCAGCTGGATTACTGCTGTGCGGCTTATACGGATATGACAGAGGAACAGAATTTACGATTATATAGAGCTATGAATGCCTGTATAAGATTCGTGTTTGAGACTAGACGAGATGAGCATATTACGCCATATTACCAGAAGCTGGGCTGGCTCAAAGTGGCTGCGAGACGAAGCTATTTTGTAGGATGTCAGCTATACAGCATCATATTTTCACATCAACTTGGTATACTCTACGATGGTCTAACATTCAGATCAGCGGTGTCTAGTAGGAGCACTAGAGCGGCTGATGATCTTCTTTCTCTGCCTCCATGTAGAACTGAGTTTTACAGGCGCTCCTTTAAATTTAGTGCTGCTAAGCTGTGGAATGACTTGCCACCAGACATTCGAGGGGTAGAAACCATTACCGAATTTAAATGCAAATTATATAAATACTTTTTATTATATACTTAATATAATTGACCTCGGGACACTTTGACATAAATTAACTACCACATGATTGCTCTGGTTTGTTGTCGGGCGCACGCGTACGTGCGTTTTTGTGGCAGTTTGCTGTCTTTCTTATAATGCCGGCATGTCAGCTTTGGCATTCTTAGTATTTCTCAGTATTCTTAGTACTTCTTTGCAGACTCTAACAGAGCTATACTGAAACCTCCTGTGCTTGATTTTTACTACGCGATTTTTGTCTCTGTTATGCTGTGTATATTGACTTTGGTAATCTCTGCGTTTCTTTACTCTGGCTGAATTATATCGCGACTGTCTCTTTTCTTTTTGCTGTGCTATGGTATAACACACACTCACTCACCCACACACGCACACACACACACACACACACACACACACACACACACACACACACACACACACACACGTACACTACGTACGTACGTACACATACACACACATACACACACACACACACATGTGCTTACCCATACTCCTATGCAAACAGAGTGCATGGTATTAGATAATAACTATTATTATAAAGGGCATTTTCAAATGTATCTATTTGTGCGCCTGAGGGGATACAATCCCAGGGCGCGTTAATAAATGAATGCTTTCTCTCTCTCTCTCTCTCCCCTCTCTCCCTCTCCCCCTTTCCTTCTCTCTCCCCCTTTCTCTCTCCCCCTCTCTCTCTCCCTCTCCCCTCTCTCTCCCTCTCCCTCTTTCCCTTTTCCCTCTCTTCCTCTCTCTCTTCCCCTCTCTTTTTCTCTTTCTCTCCCTCTCTCTCTCCCCCTCTCTTTCTCTCTCTCTCCCCTTCCCTCTCTCCCTCTCTCCCTCCTATGTATTTTTTCTATGTATTTGGATATCTTTCTAGATTAATTTTTTTTTACGTGAATTTTTCCAATATTTTATTAGTTATTCTGCTATTCCGGAAAATTCTACTCCTATTTCATATACTTGTGGTAAAAATTCGGCCCAGCCGTTCTTGAGTTATAAGTGGTCTAATTAAACCGACTTTGTTTTATATATTAAGATAATAGCTATTTGCCTAGGCGACGAAACGACCCTCCAGAGTAAAGTATTGGAAAACGAGGCATACGTGATCGAATTTTGTCTATCAACCTTGTCTGGCCCATAACTATAAATCCGGTGACACGACGCGCCAAAAGGGCCTGAATCCCAGACAGAGTTGATGAAGATTTTTATTGTATCGAGCGAGCTTTCTAAAATTTGCTCATGCAATGTTTCCGACAAACAGAGACAAAGCCTAGGACGTGCCTGTAAATACACGTGGCGGAAGTTCTGTTTAGCTTGTACCTACTATTAAGATTGAGAAGTATGCATCGTCTGTCGACATAAAAACAGGGTCGCGAGATAAGTGAGGAACCCCAATAAAAGAGAAATCGGTGATAGCCGAAAAACAAATGCGTCACTGGAAGAACCGATAAGTTACACCCCCAATAAGACAGTGGGGGCCTTACAAAAGGGCTCACCAATGGAAAACCGGAAAAATCGATAACTGTCTCTAGCTTCCTAGGATAGGCGAAACTTAAAATCTAGCTCTTGGGTGAGAAACATCTCGCCCAATAAGAAATCCCTTGAATAATAATCAGAAACATCCCGCCAACCAGAAATCCTTTTAACGAAAAACCAGACACAGCCCACACGGAATCCACCCCTTCCATGCTTCGAACCTTCCTATATAAATCGCGACATCACGGAACTCTCTCGCTTAGTTCGGGTCGCTCCAGTTCAGTATTCCGTTTTTGACTTGCAATTTAGAACTAGAATCTCTGAGTTTCCAGTTCAGTAATCGGTCTTCAGTTGCGATTCGGAATTGAAATCTTTCAAGCTTCAGTTCAATACTCCATCTTTTATTTGTGATCCGGAATTAAAGTCTGTGCACAAGATCCATCAGCAGCCACGCCGAGAGTTCCCCACTGACTCATCCAACCTCAGGCACACAGGGCACGAGGCCGCAAAAACTCATCAAGTAGTAAGTCCTGCCTACATATATATGTAAATACATACATATCGGTTCCTTTTTTTTATACATTCTTGTGTTCGGGAAGTCTCTCGGATCCATGTCCCTCAAATCCCCTAGCCCCTTTTTATTAGCCGAATTATCGCTAGATTCGGAGTAATCTTCTCTTATTACTTTGATGTTGGCCGATTCGTTGGTGAGGTATTTATTGCTTTGAGTTAGCTGACTCGGTGGACTCGAGGTATCTATTGCTTGATGTTAGCCGATTCGTTGGTGTACTCGAGCTATCTTTTACTATGATGTTGCCGATTCGTTGGTGTACTCGAGGTATCTATTACTTTGATGTTAGCCGACTCGTTGGTGGACTCAAGGTATTCCTTCGATTTCTTTCCAAAACCCGAGGTGACTTCCCCGCAGTTGGCAGACTTTAATATTTAATCATCCACTAACTTGTAGTGGATTCGGCCGGTCCCTCCCACAAGAAATCGCGAGACATGAACGGCGTCGTCAAAACAAGCGGCGCGCAGAGAGGTCGAAAACCAAGGATCGGAATTCCCCCGGGAACAAGATAACGCCGGTCTTCCGCGACTCGCCACTCTGCCCCCTCCACCAGCCCTTCCGGTGGAACCCTATTCGTCTCATCAGAATCGCCCCGTTACACTTTTCCGCCCTGTTGTCCTACCTTCTCGCCCTATCGCCGAACATTCTCGCCATGTTTGTCGCGTGGCCCCATTTCGCGTGATTCCCGTCAACCCCGATCCAGCCCGCTTCCTAGAACCTCCCGATTCCCCCTCTTCTTCCCGAACTCCGTCTCCAACCTCCTCGACCGCCTCGACCGTTGTAAACCTCGAGGAAGTAAACGAACCCGAGATGATAATCTTAGAATAATAATTATTAAAATACATTTATTTTATTCTAATTCTCATATGTTTCACTTCGATAAAGAATTCCATTAAATGTACATAATGTTCAACAACTGTTTACACAAATTCTCCTTGTTTTATTATATACATATACACATTGTACACTAACGCCTAGTTTATAATTATTTTTATATCAAATAACATTTTTTTTATGTCAAATAAATATGAATACTTATGTTAAAGGCATCTTCATTCTTTCTTTAATTTAAGACCTCACCCTCAGTACTTTCCCTCTCTCGAAATTGCACGAGGTCCGATCCTGAGTTAAAGGGATTAAATTCTCTGACTCGAAAAAGGACCGACGATCGCACCGCTCACGAAAGGCGTCCTAGCGTCTTTATGGACGTTGACCCTTCCTGAGTCATAAAAGTGGGTTCGGCTCGCGCCACGCATCTCAGAGCGCATACCTGCGAGCGACATTTGTAAGTATCTAGTTGCGTCCTTTCTTTCCCCGACCCCTCTGGTTAACCTTTCCTAATCCCGGGGTTGGACATAACAATATATATATATATATATA